CGCTCTCTCTCTCTCTCAGTTGCTTTCCGTTTTAGGCTGCGATTATATCCACGCTTACCTATCTTGCATCTGGCAACACGTTCGAGAGCTCGTTGCCAATGTCGAGGTCCTGCTTTGCTTGCTGCTGCTGCTGCTACTGGCCACGATGAGAGGACTTCCGCAGAGAGACAGAGAGTCCGTGTCGTGTTGCCGTTGGTGGGGCTCAGACCAAAGTGGGTTTACTGTGCGGGTCCATAGCTTTGGTTGCATGGCCCACAGTCGCATTGCTGTGGCTTGTCGATGAGTCTGTGTATCCCTGTGGGTCTCTGTGAGTCTCCACGGATGTCTGCGAGGCTCTACGTATATCCGTGAGTCTACGTAGCTCTAGGCGCCTCTGTGGGCTGACTAAATGGGTTCACAGCGTGCCTTGCGTGGCCACAGTCGCACCTCTGCGGCTTGCGTATTGAAGTTTGCGTTCACGAAGGAGGTTTGTGGTGCAGAGCATCGGTCTGCATGCGATGTCGTGACGCGGTTGATGGTCACGCTGCCAGTGTCTTCGAGGAGGAGGGGGGGGAAGGAGGAGGTGGAAGAGGTGGAGGAGAATGAGGTGGGGGGGGAGGAGAAGGAGGGAAGAGGAGGTGTTGTTGTGATGATGTTCCAGTCTCGAATGAGGATGTGGTTGTTAACCTGGCAGGACCCTCCTGAAGACGGGGCCTTGAGACTCGGCGAGGGCTTTCAACAATGACAATAATTTCGATTTAAAGCTTTCGTGACTGCAGGGATTCATCTTCTTGGTTCTTTCGGTAAAGTCACGTAGAAGGGAAGTAATAAAATAATAAAAATAAAACACAATAAAATAATATTTTATTAAATAATCATTTATTGTGTTTTATTTATAATCAAAATAAAACACAATAAAATAATATTTTATTAAATAATATTTTATTGTGTTTTATTTTTATTATTTTATTACTTCCCTTCTACGTGACTTTACCGAAAGAACCAAGAAAATAGTGATACTGATACATTGATGATGATGATGAAGGAGAAAAACCTTTCAGTTATTACACAAGCGGCTCAGTGCGTCGCGTGTGCGAGATATCGATCCGTCGCATTGAGAATCGCTCGATTAATCGTCGACGAACCGACGGTGAGATCGTGGTCGGCCGTCGACAAGCATAGACCATTAATTTGTTACGTGGTGAAAACATTTCTAATTAGCGAGCCCTGCATCGTTAAATTCGTACCAAAAAAAATAATAAAAAATATCTAAAATACTTCGACTGCAGCCGCGAATAAATTGGCCCCTGAACATTCCGAGCGAGCTTTTGGAAATCGTTGAAAGGGTGAATGCAGGCGTAGGCCGGTGGTAAGGTAACACAAATTCCGACGAGGGAAGAGAGGTGGGGGAGGCTGGGGATGGGAGGGAGGGTGTGTAAATAATTAATAAAGGAATCGCTCCCATAATTAATACAATGAAAACCTTTGCTACAATTATTAACAAAGCAATTACTAAATAATGATTTTTTTGTTTTATTGAGCTTGAATCTCCAAACTGATTAATAAAATAATTGCTGAAATGATTCTTAAAGCGGGCTTATTGCTAAACTAAGTAATAAAATAATTGCTGAAATTATTGTTAAAGCGAGCTTATTGCTAAACTAACTAATAAAATAGTTGCTGAAATTATTCTTAAAGCGAGCTTATTGCTAAACGAATTAACAAAATAATTGCTGAAATAATTCTTAAAGTGGGCTTATTGCTAATCTAATGAATAAAATAATTGCTGAAATGATTCTTAAAGCGAGCTTATTGTTAATCTAATTAATAAAATAATTGATGAAATGATTCTTAAAGCGAGCTTATTGTTAATCTAATTAATAAAATAATTGCTGAAATGATTCTTAAAGCGAGCTTATTGCTAAACGTATTAACAAAATAATTGATTAAATGATTCTTAAAACGGGCTTATTGCTAAACTAATTAATAAACTGATTGCTGAAATGATTCTTAAAGCGAGCTTATTGCTAAACGAATTAACAAAATTATTGATTAAATGATTCTTAAAGCGAGCACATTGCTAAACTAATTAACAAAATAATTGCTGAAATGATTCTTAAAGCAGGCTTATTGCTAAACGTATTAACAAAATAATTGATTAAATGATTCTTAAAGCGGGCTTATTGCGGGCTTTATCCCCCCGTTGTGAATGGCGACCGCCGCTTTCCACGCAGCGCTGAGCGCCGCGCGGCCAAATGAAAGATCCCATCGCGGGCAATTTCGCGCGGAATGCGTACTGGGGGATTGGCGGGCCCAGCTCCACGCTTGGGAGACGCGAGGGAATTTTTTGCCGGGGCCTTGTCGTCCGAGTGGCAGCTCCGTGCGACTACTTTTGGCGCGAGGGTTCGATTCCCCGGGCTGGGGTGTGCTGCCCGTTGGCTACGTACTTTGCGGACGCGGTTCAACTTGCATGCATACAATCGACTTGTCCGTAGTGATGATGATGATGGTGACAATTCAAAATAACCAAAAAGCGTTGTTGTTTTTGTTGTTGAGAAGATAAATAACAAAAGAGACGGGCAGACTTTGTGTCTCCCCCTGCACCTGTGAACCGTGTTCGCACGGCCTTCTGGGAGTGCGAAATTTCATCGGCATTGTTTCGAGGCGAGCAAACCCCTGTGGGACCAGGTTTCAACACACAGCGTCTCCTTCTTGGTTCTTTCGGTAAAGTCACGTAGAATGGAAATAATAAAATAATAAAAATCAAACATAATAAAATCATTCTCACGACGTTTCGGCCACAACGCAAGCAGCCGTCCTCAGGTGGAGAACAGGTCTGTCGAGAAGACAGAGTCTGAAGGCAGACCTGTTCTCCACCTGAGGACGGCTGCTTGCGTTGTGGCCGAAACGTCGTGAGAATTATTTTATGTTTTATTTTTATTATTTTATTATTTCCATTCCACGTGACTTTACCGAAAGAACCAAGAAGATGAATCCCTGCAGTCACGAAAGCTTTAAATCGAAAAAAGCGTTTTTGTTTTTGTTGTTGAGAATATAAATAACAAAAGAGACGGGCAGACTTTGTGTCTCCCCCTTCACGTATGAACTGTGTTCGCACGGCCTTCTGGGAGTGCGAAATTTCATCGGCATTGTTTCGAGGCGAGCAAACTCCTGTGGGACCAGGTTTCAACACACAGCGTCTCATCAGTAGAGTCAGTCAAGCTTCATTGAAATGAAGCCGGTGAATAACAATATTAATATTATCCATAATAGAGGGTTTTTTTGGGTTAGATTGCGTAAATACAAATGTGTCAATTGTTTTTTTACCCTTTTATCTGGCAACAAAACTGACACCTTTTTTACAAGGAGTCATGTTTGCATAGACCACAATACCTGCGGTCATAATGCAAATGAGGTTCCAATGGTGTAAAAATGTGTCGTTAAACGCCGCCACCACCCGACACAGGCAATTAGTGAATAAAAGTGCCAATTCGTTACTAGTTCAGCACACCGGTTGCGTGTTGGGGAGTAAACCCACGACATTCACAGTTGGAGTCTCAAAAGCCTAAGTGTTAAACCAATAATATGAAGACTGATACGATAACACGATTTGTTTTTTTTTTAAGAGAGACGCCCTCGTAGGCCGCAGGGCGTCCCAGAGCGCTCCACGTCGTGTCTCAATCCCAACGCACCACCTCGAACGGGGCACCCCCAGCGGCAGCCGTCCCCTTGCGGCACGAGGCGACCCACTGTGGCGGCCGCAACAGTCGGAGCTGCGAAACGGAGAATTTGGTCTGCCAGTAGGGGGCTGGAGGGGGGGTGCAGGGGGTTGGGGGGGCGATGATTGCTGGCCCGTGATGCGTGATCGCAATCGGAGTGTTAGCGATCGTATCGGGCCGTCTTTGCGGGAGTCACCTAGGTCCACTCAGCCTTAAACGAGGGCTGGGGGAGATGACGGTGACGATGACGACGATCTTCTTGGCTCTTTCGGTAAAGTCACGTAGAAGGGAAGTTGTGGCCGAAACGTCGTGAGAATGATTTTATTATGTTTTATTTTTATTATTTTATTACTTCCCTTCTACGTGACTTTACCGAAAGAACCAAGAAGATGAATCCCTGCAGTCACGAAAGCTTTACATCGAAAGATGACGACGATGTCAACGGCTTTGGCGGCCTCGGCATCCCGAGATGTTCGTGGGATCGATCCCGACCCTGACCCTCGCTCTACATTCGGAGTTTGTGCGTCTCTCTCTCCCCGTGGTCGCGTGGGTTTTGTCCCCGGGGTTTATTCCCTCCACATTCAGAATCAACACCACACGTTTGCAGTATTTGGCTGCTGTACATTGCCTCCACGTGACGATAAGCGACTTCGTTGAGCTATCGCTTGTGGTGGCCAGGTCGCTTCTGAAACAGAGCTGCATAGCTCAGTGGGTGCCTTACCTGGTAAAGTAAAAAAAAAACTCGTGATTTGGTCTTCTTAACAAAGTCACGGCGAGGGGCCATTGGTGCCACAACGACAACAGCAGCAGCACCGTACGACAGGGTGGGTGGGCCTTCAGCTGCCCCGTGAGCCGAAACCGCGCGACGCCCGATGTTTCGCTCCCGGTGCTGCCGGGAGCTTCTTAAGGAACCGATGACCTGCGTGCAAATCCCGCCAGTTGTGTCGCAGTGCCGGATCGTCGTCACCGCCACGTGGCTGCTGCTGCCGCTGCTGTTGCCGCCGCTGCCGCCGCCGCCGCTGCCGCCGCCGCCGCCGCCGCCGCTGCTGCCGCTGTCTCGCCCTGCTCATCGCTGCTTCCTCCTCCTGGCGCCTCTGAGTAAAATAGAAATGAGTTAATAGTTTGATGGTTTATCCCCTTGCCGTGCCGCCCTCGATGGCGGCACTCGCCCCTACCGGCACTTGCCCTGCTCCCCACCCAACTGCGACGGTCTTGCAGAAGGCTACGATGGGTTGACCTTTGTCCTTTGCCTTCCCTTCGGTGGTGGTGGTGGTGCCGTCGCTGCTGCTGCTGCTGCCACAGGAGACATGAAGTAGGGGAGCTCGGGGGAGTGCGCGAGAGCGACCTGCCGGGCTGCGCACGCCACTCAGCGCACGCGACCACACAGCTCACTCTCAAGGTAACGCGTCGTGTAGTAGAAGTGGTCGTGGTGGTCGTGGTGGTCGTGAGAAAGGTTACTATTATAATGCCCGTCGGCAACCCTTTCGAATGTTGAACTTTCAAAGGAGAGCCATTCTTGGTCGGTGGTTTTTGTCTTTGAACAAAATATGTCGAAGGGCCGCATCGCACGCGCAGAGCGAGCTCCCTTTACACAAACACGGCGCCAGGTATGTGCGGCAGATGACGACGACGACAGCAATGAGACGTTGCGACTTAAATAAACTAAATAGGTGATGGGATAAATTCGCGTCTATTTAGTTTATCTCCGCCCCCCCCCCCCCTCGTTAGTGATTGCTTACCACCACAGCCTGACTGTTGTACATTTTTGTTGTCACCAAGACATTCGATAGTGATCTGCCCACTTTTGAATCAATTGTCTTGACGTTAAATTACGTTTTAAGATTTAAGTTGTTTTTTTTTGAACGGCTGCCCGCATGGGGGCAACCAAAGAGCCGCAGTTTGCCCCCCCCCCCCACCCCGTAAATCACGTGACTTCTCTGTGTGGCCACCCACCACTGTGAACCCCTCCCCTCTCGCCTCTCTGTATGTCAATCTCGCTATCTAAATCAGCACCATTGGAACCTCATTTGCCAGTAAAAAATATGATAATTGGTGTTTTTACCCTTCAATCTGGCAAACAAAACTGACACCTTTTTTTACAAGGAGTCATGTTTGCATAGACCACAATACCTGCAGTCATAATGCAAACAAAAAACATAACTCTGTATGCACTGTCCTTGAAGTTGATTGGTCCACACCCGAGATAGCTGTCTCGGGTGTGGACCAAAAAATAAACATGCAGAGTTATGTTTTTTGTTTGCATTATGACTGCAGGTATTGTGGTCTATGCAAACATGACTCCTTGTAAAAAAAGGTGTCAGTTTTGTTGCCATATTGAAGGGTAAAAAACCAACTATTATCTAAATCAGCTCAAGCCTACCGCAAGCCACGTGACTTACGTGACAAGGCTCGGTCTCTCTCTCTCTCTCTGTCACGTGGCTTACGTGACAGAAGTGGGTCGTCTGGGCATGTCACGTTCATAATGGCCCTGTCACATACTGTCCCAGCACCACTGAGAACCAGAGGTCGCAAACGGGTTTTGATTCCTTACCCGTACCCGGCCGCACCAGGGTCGCAAACGGGTACCCGTACCCGTACCCGGCCGTACCCGTACCCTACCCGGCCAGGTACGGGTAGGGTACGGGTATCGGGTACCTGATTGCGACCTCTGGGATGAAGCCATGTTGCAGGCGCGGGTGGGTTGATTCTAGGAACTTGAATTGTGAGAAGAGACAAGACGTTGGGAAATGAGTGACAAACGGTTACTCACCAGTGACTCACGGTCTACCCGTACCCGGCCGCACCAGGGTCGCAAACGGGTACCCGTACCCGGCCGGGTACGGGTAGCCGGGTATCGGGTAGGGTACGGGTATCGGGTACCCGATTGTGACCTCTGTTGAGAACCTGGATTTGAGTTATCTTGGCTTTGCTGTCCCACTTTCTTTCTCTCTCTTAGGCGGTTTATAATGTGCATGTCAGGTTCCTAATGGCCGTGTCAGAGACCCTGCACCAGCATTGCATGAGCGCTGGGTTCACACCCTGGGCTCTGGGTGTTTCAAAACCAAAGAGTGTCTAAATCGGTGGGTTCATCTTAGCCGTGTCGGAAACAAGGGTCCGCCATCGTTGAGATTGTGTGGCTTGTCCTCTGTCTCTCTCTCTCTCCCGCAGGGGTTCATAATGGCCGTGTCAGAAACGACAGTGAGCCAGCGTTGTTGAGATTCTGGGTTCGGGCCCTGCGGATGGGGTGTCTCTCTGACTTTCCTCCGGGGGGGTTCACGACGGCCCTGGTTGAAACCAGTCACGCTGCTCGCCGTCACGAAGCCGTTAATCAAGCCCAGCCTGGCAATATTTCAGCGCAGCGAGCAGGCCACTGATCCGAAGACAAAGAACCCCCCCGTATAGCCTTTGAACAGACTGTTGGGGCAACTGCCGTTAGCGAGTAGCACCCCTACGCCCGGCCGCCTTTGTCTCCCCAGTGCTGATGTTTACACACCGCGCGCGGTGCCGGCCTTAGTAGCCGCTCGCTTAAAAGCATTTGCCCCGACAGCCTGCGTAGGCTACACGAAGCGGGATAGGGCGGGGAGCTTTGTCTTTGTTGGCGCATCTCCGTCCGGGAGTAACGTCGGCGAGATGTTAACGACCTCGCCTGGTATGCAGGAGATCGTGGGTTCGATCCCGACCCTGATGCCTGCTGTATATTTGTAGTCTGCGTGTCTCTCCCTCCCTCTCCCCGTGGAGATGTTAACTACCTCGCTCGGTATACAGGAGATCGTGGGTTCGATCCCGACCCTGATGCCTGCTGTATATTTGTAGTCTGCGTGTCTCTCCCTCCCTCTCCCCGTGGAGATGTTAACTACCTCGCCTGGTATGCAGGAGATCGTGGGTTCGATCCCGACCCTGATGCCTGCTGTATATTTGGAGTCTGCGTGTCTCTCCCTCCCTCTCCCCGTGGAGATGTTAACTACCTCGCCCGGTATACAGGAGATCGTGGGTTCGATCCCTACCCTGATGCCTGCTGTATATTTGGAGTTTGCGTGTCTCTCCCTCTCTCCCCGTGGTGAGATGTTAACGACCTCGCCTGGTATGCAGGAGATCGTGGGTCTGATCCCAACCCTGACGCCTGCTGCTGTGTGTTTGGAGTTGGCGTGTTCTCTCACTCTCCCCGTGCTTGCGTGGATTTTTTTTCTGGGTCCCTCCGGTTTTTGATCCCTCCGCATTTAGAGTCAACGTCACGCATTTCAGGGCATTTGGCTACAGCCATAAATGTCCACACGGTGATGAGCCTACTTGGTTGAGCGGTCATTCGTGGGACAGGTCGCTTCTGAAATAGAGCTATACGGCTCAGCGAGCCTGAGCCGCGAAAATTAAAAAAGTTTTTGTTGTTGTTTCCGGACAGAGCTCTTCCCGGCTCACCGAGCGAGAGGATTGCCCGCCAGAGTACATCAGCGAAATCCCATTAGGCGGCGAGATCCACGCCGGGATTGTTAACTCTCGACCTAAAGCTTTCGTGACTGCAGAAATTCATATTCTTTGGGTCTTTCGGTAAAGTCACGGGGAGACAGCGTCATTCAGACGCTGTCTCCCCGACAGACCTGGTCTTCACCTGAGGACGGCTGCTTGCGTTGTGGCCGAAACGTCGTGAGAATTATTTTATTGTGTTTTATTATTTTATTATTTCCCTTCTACGTCACGTAGATAGGTTCAAAGAAAATAACAAAAAAATAACAACAACAAAACTACGACGCTTCGATCGCAACACAAGCGGCGATGACGACCGCTTGTGTTGCGATCGAAACGTCGTAGTTTATTTTCGTAATTTTTTTGTTATTTTCTTTGAACCTATCTACGTGACTTTACCGAAAAGACCCTGAAGAAGATGACTATTGACTCGCCGCCACGAGCCTGTCGCGGCAGCCAGAGCCGATTAATAACGCCCGCGAGCGCATCCCATCGCGAGCTCTCCGCAACATCAAACCCCGGGCCGGTCACAGCTGAGTCAGCCTCCTGTCAAGGGACAGCTTTGTTCCTCCTCTCGTGGGTGACTGCTCAATGGTGGTGGGTGGCCGTGCGGTGGTGACGCTCACACCTCCTCAACACTCAAGAAGGCGGGGAGGAGATGTTAACTACCTCGCCTGGTATACAGGAGGTCTTGGGTTCGATCCCGACCTTGACGCCTGTCGCCGTATATTCGGAGTTTGCGTGTCTCTCTCTCCCCGTGGAGATGTTAACTACCTTGCCTGGTATACAGGAGATCGTGGGTTCGATCCCGACTCTGACGCCTGTTGCTGTATATTCGGAGTTTGCATGTCTCTCTCTCCCCGTGGAGATGTTAACTACCTTGCCTGGTATACAGGAGATCGTGGGTTCGATCCCGACTCTGACGCCTGTTGCTGTATATTCGGAGTTTGCATGTCTCTCTCTCCCCGTGGAGATGTTAACTACCTTGCCTGGTATACAGGAGATCGTGGGTTCGATCCCGACTCTGACGCCTGTTGCTGTATATTCGGAGTTTGCATGTCTCTCTCTCCCCGTGGAGATGTTAACTACCTTGCCTGGTATACAGGAGATCGTGGGTTCGATCCCGACTCTGACGCCTGTTGCTGTATATTCGGAGTTTGCATGTCTCTCTCTCCCCGTGGAGATGTTAACTACCTTGCCTGGTATACAGGAGATCGTGGGTTCGATCCCGACCCTGACGCCTGCTGCTGTATATTCGGAGTTTGCATGTCTCTCTCTCCCCGTGGAGATGTTAACTACCTTGCCTGGTATACAGGAGATCGTGGGTTCGATCCCGACCCTGACGCCTGCTGCTGTATATTCGGAGTTTGCGTGTCTCTCTCTCCCCGTGGTCGCGTGGATTTTTCCTCCGGGTCCTCCGGTTTTTCCCCTCCACATTTAGATTCAACGGCACGCATTTTGAGCATTTGGCTGCTGCTATAAATGTCCACATGATGCTGATAAGCCACTTCGTTCAGCTATCATTGGCAGCCAGGTCGCTTCTTGAAAATAGCTATAGAGCTCAGTGGGCCTTATCTGGTTAAATAAAACATTTTTCAGTGAGTAGTCGTTTAAATTCACAACTCGTGTGCCCTTTCTGCGCAGAGTTTGCGTGTTATTTCTCCCCCTGTTCTGCAGAGCGAGCGTGTGAGAGTGTGAGAGTGTGAGCAAGTGGGAGTAAGTTTGGAGTGTGATCCCCCCTGTCCTGCAGAGAGCGAGTGTGAGCGAGTGGGAGTGTTTGGAGTGGGATTCTCCCTGTTCTGCAGAGTGAGAGTGTGAGAGTGTGAGTGTATTTGGAGTGTGATCCCCCCTGTCCTGCAGAGTGAGAGTGTGAGAGTGTGAGAGTGTGAGCGAGTGGGAGTGTTTGGAGTGGGATTCTCCCTGTCCTGCAGAGTGAGAGTG